CATTAATAAAATAAACTATTAATATCTAAAACGGTAATTTAAACTTGTAGTTAACTAAGAAATTGTTTAATTTGAGGTTAAAAGTAAGAAAACTATTACTTCAAAGCTAATTATCATGAATTCACTCTTGACTTTAAATTTGATTTTCACTCGCCTTCCAGTGAATCCATTTAAATATTAAATTAAATTAAGACTCATTATTAACTTATATTGAAATACATTCAGTTCACAGGAGTTAATGTTTTTATAAATGTAAGACAATGTCAATGAAGTAAAACAATTGATGTGTTTGTGACAAACACTTGTTGAGACAAATATAACTTTAATTATGCGCACAAATCTCATCAATTGTCTGGTTTTAAAATAATTACATATAAAAAACAAATCCATGAATATTGAAACCATGAGTTCATTCAATTAAGTTATTATCAAAACAAATGTTTCATACTTGAAACTGATTTTATGTAAAATTTCACTAAATCTACATATAATCCGGTGTTTTATAAGTCTTTAATAAAAATGAATGCTTTGAATATAAATAGTCTATAACTTCGTTAATAATAATAATACTGAAATACAAGTCATTAATTGAAATGTTTTAATAGATTTATAAAATAACAGAAATGACAGTAATTGCAGACAATATAAGACAATATAAGACATGATTGTAAGACCCATTAGACCCGCTTCTTATCGGTGAGCACGCGGACGATGGCACCGACCCCTCCCTTATCGTAGGTCTTCTGATGCCATATCAAGAGGTGAGCACTGCTTCCATCGGTGGGCGACTCGAAGCCTCTGTAGATATACTTCATGAGGACATCGATCTGGTCGGTGGACAACGTGTCGACGGCTTTATCGATGTCCGTCACTCTTATACTCATCATTATCTGCAAGACAATGGCGAAGGCATGGTCTTTGGCCACATTGTTCTTCGAGTTGATGGCACTGTTGTTTAGCATCACTTTCAGAGCCTCCGAGTGTTTGCCACTATTGATGAGCGCCGACACCTCCTTCTCGTCGATCCCATTAGTGGCCAATCCGTCCGATGGCTCGTCCTCTTTGAACACGTCTTCGCCCAATGAGTCCACGTCTATCTTCCGGAACTGACTCGACAGCGTATTCTTCGACATATTATCACTGATTACCACCGACTGTATCACCAAATGTCCGATATATCACAACAAACACCCAACGCTTCACTCTATTGTAACCTTTGATTGTCTTTTCAATTATTGATCAGTAAATGAAATGTGAGTTAAGACTGGAGTTAATAGTGAGAGACAATTGGATAGACAATTGGATGGCAATTGTGGATCAATTGGATGGCAATTATGGATCAATTGATTGCAGTTTGGATGACAAGTGCTGTGAATGTAAGCCACGCCTCACAACACAACACAACATACTCTCCGTTCACTCCATTCACTCATTCATGCATTCATTCAACGCTTTCCAAGTTATCTATCATTTCCTAAACTTCACTACAATTTGACGGCAAATGAATTCATTGCAAACTTATCTCATCATTAAAATGAAGGCAAATAAAGTTAATTATAATAAATATGTTCAAAACAATAGCAAATATTTAATGCACTTTAACTGCTTATTTTGGCAAATGAGATGATTATATGATTTGAATGATCACTTTGATTGCAATGAATTGATGGCATTTACTAGTGATACACATACATAAGTGATTCAAATGATGGTCTCATTTCTATTTAATACAATTTACTAATCATTTTCTTCCTGATTATGAATAAAACTGAAAGCACTATATAATGAGTGAATTGCTTTAATCTATGAATGAATACTTCGGATGAATATCTCGCAGATTATCTATGGGTTAAGTATAGGTTGCAGAGAAGGGTCGACACAATTACAGCGAAAACAATTATGATTTACATATTTGATTTCACTGGTAACTCTCATTTTCAAAGTATAACAACTAAGTTAAGATAAAAACATTCAACAAATCAATCAATTTGTGTAAATTTTATTGATGACAAAAAATGAATTAATCGTTTCACTCATTATAAGTGTAATGAATG